GCATGTATTTTACTTCTTAGATTGGGTTAGGCAGGCACCTACTGAGTGACAAAAAGATGTTTCAAGCCTTTCTAAGGATCACTATCACCTGCGCAGTTGGCGTTGGTGTTGTTGCTTTGGGAGTCGGCACTACATTTGTGTATATCCCTCCATGGTATGGAGGAAGTTTGTGATGGGCTGAGGTTTTTGTACTTAGAAGTCATTTTACAAATGGATAAATTTGTCTTTAAAATTTTTAAAATAAAGTGGGTGGGAAAATATTACAGGTGGGTGGAAATAGCAGCACTCTTTTAAAATTATAAACACACCCAAAATAAACCCAAAAATTGACAGCTGTATATTTTTTAATTTAATTATTAAGATAAAACACCTTTATTACCCTTTTATCTTAAAATTGGAATTCAAATCCTTTATCTCGTGTTGAAGCCATAGCAGAAACTCATTTCACGAGTTTTGGTCTCTCATCTTCATCTTCAACCCCAATTTTCAGTTTTTGTTCTTCCACCTCAATTTTTGTTCAACCTCATCATTCTAAGCTTCGTTGGAGGGCTCGCCTGGGCCACCGAATCGAAGGTCCGTTTGATGCATGTTCTCTCTCGAAACTCATTTCACGAGTTTTGGTCTCTCATCTTCATCTTCAACCCCAATTTTCAGTTTTTGTTCTTCCACCTCAATTTTTGTTCAACCTCATCATTCTAAGCTTCGTTGGAGGGCTCGCCTGGGCCACCGAATCGAAGGTCTGTTTGATGCATGTTCTCTCTTTGCTACTTGATCTTTGTTTCTCTATGTTACTTGATCTTTCTCTCCCAAAGATTGAAGATCGATCGATTCCTTTTCATTTTTGTTTATGATTGTGTATTTGTTTGATTATACTCCGGCGTTTTGGTTTTGATGGACGGATCTGATTCGATTTGGTTTCTTTTTGTGTTTTCAGATCATGAACGACCGTGAGACGGGAGGTCCAGGGGCTTCGGCTTCGTCACCTTGAACAACGAGAATGCCATGAAGGATTCGATCGAAGGCATGAACGGCTAGAACCTCGACGGCCGTAACATCACCGTCAACGAGGCCTAGTCTTGTGGAAGCGTTAGGCATTTTCTGATGCGTCTCAACTTCAACTCCCTCTTTGAGGTAAAATTCCATTCAAGATGCTGCTCTGTAGGTAGGGGAAAGCCATTTGAGAGCTACTCAAACTTGTTGAGTTTTTGTTTTTAGGCTTATCGTTCCACAGTTCTATTTATTTTTGTAGCTAGAGATCCTTGATTGCTGATTGTGATGATAGCTTGGAGCAGAAGAGCTCCATATAAATTGATGGCCAATAATTCACTAGGGAATCAAAAGGTCTTTTCGACACCTTGCCCACACTTGATAGGATATGTGGTTTCTTTTTTGAATATTACAAGGAAATTCATGTTTAGTCAACTATGAATTTTTGTGGACCTTTTTCAATCTATTAGAGGTTCATGTTGACTTTGTATTTCTGCCAAGCACATAAGCGAAGCATGATTGTGCTTTGATTTTTTTTTTTCTGTTCGTTTAATTAATTTGTTGAAGCACTTGTTACTGTTGCTCTTACATATTTTTAGCTATTCCCTGTCTGTGCTTTGTCCATATTTTCTATTGCAGCACTCATGGAATTCTAAAATTTCCTATAGGTATTTATCAGCTTTAATTTCACGATCCTTCTTGGACATTGGCTCTTTATCAAGGATACTGGACAGCATAATGAAACTTTGCCTACAGTTTTGCTGGAACATTGAGAACCAGGAAAGCAATGGAAATACATATGAATTGGAACACTTTGTAGAGGTAAACATCATTGGTTTGCGAAAATATTCTATCTTCTTGCAATTATTGGCAAGAATAATTTCCACATTTTATATTGCTGCAACTATCTTGGGAATTTACTCCTTTGTTGATGCCAAAGTTGGTTTACCTGTCTGGTTGTCTCTCACAATTGACTAGCCCTGCATAATTCGAGGGTGTAGGTTATGTTGTTTGGCTTTCACAAGACTCCATAGCTGCTTGCATTATTTAACATGTTATACAATGTTGCAATATGTGGACTTCATCTTCAATTAGGTTTTGTTTTACTTTGTTCAGGAATTTAACAAGAAATCAAACTCGCT